GTGAGTTTCTTTTCCTTATACATGGCAAAATGGTTTGGGGAAGAACCCTCAAATTTGGAATGTTTATTGATAGGACTTAGGAGAAGCTGTCTTTTTTATGGGGGAAATGGCTGTCATTTTTTTTTTTATGGATTTATCTAACAATGACTAATTGTAACCATTATATGACTACTATCTTATCTGTCTGGACAAGTAAACTAAAAATATGTGTGCTTTGAAAAAAAAAACAATTTTACTTAAAAATATATTTTGATGAGAAAATTGTTAACTTAATATTTTTTTCATTGCAAACTTTAGTAATGCTTTAAGAGTCAGATGAAACCAAAAATGGATTATTCCTGGCGTAACTGGTCTGGAGTGGTTTGGTTTGGTTTGGTTTGTTTTGTGGCACATCAACCTCACTGGGTCATTTAATGCTGTCATTTTTTTCCTGGTAATATTTTTGTTTTGTCAAAAATTTATTTCTGTTAATATTTTTGGATATTAGCTGGTAATATTATTTTTTCAAAAACGTATAGCTAGTAATATTTTTCCAAAAACATATTGCTGGTAATAGTTTTGTTTTCAAAAATGTATTGCTGGTATTTTTTTTTTTCTTCAAAAATTTATTTCTGGTAATAATTTTTTTACAAAGTATTTCTGGTATTAAAACCTATTTTTACACTTTTATAATGCTTTTTACCTCAGTTTCGGTAACTATTTGCCCATAGCTGGGACCCTAACAGTTGCTACCACCTTGGGTCAGGGTGGACCTGGGAACACCAGCAATTAAAAGGTGGTTCCATGCTCTTCAAAACCTCCTGATCAGAGGCCTTGCTGTTGGACATAGTTTATCGTCTTACCCTGGACATGTATGTAGTTTATCGTCATACCCAGGACAGCTGGAGCTGTTTGATTCTCACTTTCCAGCCTTGATAGAGTTCATAATTCTTTATGTGTGTTTGTGGTGGAAGACTTATTCTCTATTTTGCAATGTCTTTCCCACATGTTGCAAGCCCATTTCTACTATATCACTATTTTCCATGGTAAATGTTCAGATGAGCTCCATTCTTTACTTCCACCACTACCAGACTTTTACAGCTCACACCAAAACTGCTTCCACAGAGATGAATCATCCTCATTTCCTCCATATATTAGAAAGTTTAGCTCAGATAGTTCCCCTCCCCACCATGCAGAAATCTTTCCTGAACACTACAATCTTAACTTGATCAAGTTGATCATTGTCTATCCTTTATATCATGTTCTCTTTTTTTAATCACAACTATTTTAACAGTAAATCTACCTTGAATGGCTCGAGTTTTGTAATGGGTGTACTTTAGTTAAAAAAAAAAAAAAAAAAAATCATTCCAAGAACAAATGAACATAAAACTAAAAGGAGGATGTAAGTTTGAAATAACATTTTTCACATTTTTTTATTAAGACTCAAATGCACAGGCCAGTAGACATAGATTTACAAAATAAAAATAAAAAAAAAAATACAGGGATGTCTACTCAAATGCAATATTTAAAGTAATGAGAAATAGAAAAATATACTCGATTTTGATTTTACTTTTAGGCTAAATATAAACAAAAGATTGTTTAGTGGCATATCAACTCTTTAGGGGTCATTTAATGCCGAAATTTAATTTTCATGGGAGCATTAGTACTTTCTTTTACAAAAATGTATTGCTGGTATTTTTATACTTTCATAATGTTTTGACTCTGGTTTGGAGGGTAACTATTTACCCATAATTGGGACCCTAACAAGTGCTGCCACACTGGGTCAGGGTGGACCTGGGAACAGCAGCAATTAAGAGGTGGTCCTATGCTCCTCAAAACCTCCTGGTAAGAGGCCCTGCTGCCAAATGTAATTCATCATCATACTAACCTGACTCTTGGGAATAATGACAAGTTTTGAATCAGCAGCAAAGATTGTAAAATAGAAATTTCTTATAAATTTCAATTGTTAAAAATCCCTGCAAAATATTGTTGATTTATTTAAGGTGAAATGATCTATTATTATAGGTCTCTAATTTGTATTTAGATACATGGTATTTATTTTCAATTTTTCTAGTTGAATTGTTCACCTATATTGCATATGATCTATTATTGCACATAATTAGGTTAGAATAAAATTTGTATTTTATATGAATACTAGATTATGAAAAGTAAGAAGTGGTAGAGTGGGGGTCCACAAGACCCTTGCACTGACTCTACATCTAGCCATTTCAACTGTAAAAAAATGAGACCTTACTGCAAATTTACTACTGGGCTTAAATTCATAAAGTCTAGGTACCATGAAGGAAAGTTTATCAGAACAATTACCATGAGAGTATTTCTAAGGAAGGTGCAGTGAAGCTATGTTACAGCGGTGGGAAGGTGAATGAAACTGTGATGCCAGGTTAGGACAAATGACATTGCAGATTTTTCTTCATATTTTTATCAAGAATCTCTAAATATATAGCATAAGCACTAGACTAGATGTTGCAGCAGTAGTCAAAGCAAGGACAAGTGGTCAATTTGTAAATATGAAAGATAGGTTCTGGCAAGAAAAATTGTCTAGCATGACATGGAATATATATATATTTATATTAAGAATTAAGGAAATCTTGATGTTTTGTCTGGCACATATACTAGTTGAAGTACCAGCCAGTATTTCTCTAACTTATACATTTTAAATATTTATGTGAGTATCTTTGTTTAGCGTGAGAATTACTATTCAGACAATCAGTGAATAATAAAAGAAGAATGCTGTGAGAATTGCTTTTTCTTGTTGAAAATGTTTTAACATGTTATTTCTTTAGAAGAAAAAAAGAAAAACAATTTTTTTTTTTTTTTTTTTTACTTTGATTGCCTTACTCCATATAGATATTCATGTTATAGTTGTGGGCCGGTAGACAAAATGTTCTACTTTAATCTGAATAGAAATCAGAAAACATTTGTAAATATTTCCACTTTTTTTTTTTTTTTTTTTTTTTTTCGAAAAATTAAATTTATCTAATTGAACAAATGGATGTGCACATTGTGTAGTGGTTATCAATATGGAAAGTGTAATTTGCGTGCTGAATTTGTTGCACTCACTTTCACACAAATACTCTTCAAAAAGGCATGTATCCATCTCTTCTCTCCCCAGTTAGTGGTCAGAATGGACTTTCTAGTCTTGGTTGGCACCCATTCTAGAAGGACAACTCTGGATTCAAAACCAATTGGGCATGGGGATGGTTACTCCACTCTGTAAAAACCTATTTACTACAAAAACCGAAGCACCTGATGTATTGAGGCTGTGACCTTATACTGAAAAGGTGAGTCAATATCATTATGGAGGAGGGAGACCTATTAGTAGTTGATATAGTAGCCTTAATTTGTTTGAATTTCTTCAATGAAATATTAAGAGACAGTTGAACATAATGAGGGAGGAGAGTTTTGAAAATTTGACAGGAGATATATCAAAGGCAAAAGAGATACAAGGAATTACTGAGTGTGAAAGGATAAGAAAAAAAGAGAAACATTATTAAGGAGCGAGAACAATAAAAGAAGAGTAATCAGGAAGACAATAGATAATGATTGACATTGCATTTAAATTTTTGAAGCTCAAAGTTGGCTGTAAAGCATAGAGCCAGAAGAGAGTTCCACAAGTGAGAAGTGTGGGAATAGAAACGACATAGAACTTCAGAGTCTGTCTATATTTCTGAGATGAGGTATTATCTACATTTACATTATTTGGACTATTGTCCTCATCTTTGTCGCCATATTTATCACAACATTTCAGCCGTTGTACGCTCCGGCCTTCTTCAGGTGGTTGGAATGTCGAACTGAACCCTTTATTTTGCTCACCAGGGTAGACTGTTCTAGTTCCATGTGCCATGTTTGATGGATGTCAGTTATCAGTTATCTCCTGTTAATTTCCCTCTGAAACACAGAACTTACGGTTATATCTAGTCTATTCAACTGTAAATTGATGAAACCTTATTGCCAATCTAGCACTTCACTTAAATTCGTAAAGACTAGGTGCCATATTGAAGAGATCATTCGAACAATTACCATGAAGTATTTATAAAAAAAGGCACAGGGAAGCTACATTATGGCAGTGGGAAAGTGACTGAAGGTGAGATGCCAGGTCAGGATTAATAACATTGCTGATTCTTTGGATTTTATCAAGAAACTCTAAATATATAGCAGGAGCACCAGATCATATGTGGCAGCACTATTCAAAGCAAGGATGAATGATAAACTTATAAATATGTTTTCTTGAGAGAAAAATTATCTAGCATGACAAAGTGAACCAAAAAAGAAACACTCATCAAAAATTGATAATGGAAGTACATCTATCTTAGATGGAATGGATTCACTTTTGCTTACTATATCTTTTCAGCAGATTTTGTTTTGACTAACATTACAATTTAAAGAATGAAACAAGAGACTTTTTTGTCTTATTTTTTAAATAGTTTCACAGTCATCAGCATAGAGCACATTTGGATTACCATTAATTTTATTTATTTTTTAATCATTTCACCCTGAGCAAGTCAATAAAAGCCACTAAGATTCAAGAAGTTACTGAGAATGAGAAAACATGGATAACAATAAATAAACAGGAATTAAAGACAGGTGATAATTGAATGACATTTAAACTTTTAAAGATCAAAGTTGATTGGAAAGGAACCAAGCATGATGTGTGAGCAAAGAAACTATTAACATACAACTTATGGTCATGACTAGAAATTTCAACAGTGAAATTATGAGACCTAGCTGCCAATCTAGTACTGCGCTTAAATTCATGAACTCAATGTATCAATGAGGAAAGCTTATGAGAACAATTGCTATGCAAATATTTATAGAAGAGGCAAAGGGAAGCAATGTTACAGCAGTGAGAAAGTGACTGAAGCTGAGATGCCAGGTCAGAATTGATAATATTGCCAATTATTCTTTGGATTTTGTCAAGCATTTGAGACGCTACATATTAAGTCTAAGTAACCTTCTTTTTGTAAGCAGAAGGGATGGTATTTTTCCTTTTCTTGAAGATTTGCAGCCATATCACATTAAAATACTGGTTCCCATATGATTATCACAGTTAAGCAATGTCATGCTTGGTCAGTACCTAAATGGGTGACCACTTGGGAATATCAGGTAGTGTAAGCTTGGATGTGCAGGTGGTTTAATGGATTTTGGCTTGGAATGAGAAATCAGAGAGCCAAGTTCCAGTACCAGTCAGGTTTGTTATATTTACTTGTGCACAGATACTATAATGTGAATCCATCTCTTATCCCCCCTAGCTATGGGTTAATTAGTAGGACTCATGTCAGTAAATCATTATCTCCAAAAACGATCTTGTAATCTAGAAACATTTTCCGGCTTTAAATAACCTGCAAAAGGCTGATAAGCCATAAAAAGACAAATTACTCAATTTAATCATTGAGTGCATATTTATGTTTCATTCTAGATTGAGCTCTGAAGAGTGAGGAGCAATAACCAGTTAGCCCCACTCTTCCTATTTTGATGTTTCTTTTTTTTGTTATTTTTTGATTCATCACTATGGTGAGAAAGGATTTTTTTTTTGTTCTCATCCTTTGTTTTAATATATTTGTATATATGTTGTAGAGTAGTTTCACAGTGGAGGCTTGTATTTGTACTAAGTCGGTTCTAGAAAAGGTTCGACGTACAAAACGTTAGGAACTTGATATAATAGGTAATGACGCAGAGAAATCTAGTGGTGGTCGCTGATACTCTTAGTGTCCGACATCAACTAGCTGACCTACTCACTCAGCTACTGACTTAGCGACTCCTACTACTACTACTACTACTTATTATAGGTGGGAGAGTCTATTAACTATAGAATAGGTGTGTTCCAGTATAAAAATATATTATGTGAATATATACTTTTAAAATGTTTTTTTTTTTTTTAAAAAAAAAAAAAAAAAAAAAAAAAAAAAAAAAAAAAAAAAAAAAAAAAAAAAAAAAAAAAAACTTTGTGAGATTCTCATCCTGAGGCATAAATCAAAATAACAGTATTTCATACATATTTTAGCACATATTTAAAGGTCTTGCTCTCAATTGAGCTTTGAAGGAGCAATAGTTACCTTTTGCTTGTCCTCCTTCTTCTTCCCACTTTGTTTTCATCTATTTGTTTATATACATTTATAATGTACTTTTTATAATGTTCATTTCTAAACAATGTTTTATAATGTTTGTTTTTAAATCCATAATAGATTAAAACAAGAAAATAGAAACAAGTATAATAGTTTTTCTTTCGTAAACATGCAGTGTGACACTTACCAATAATATCCCCACATTTGTTTCTATTCTTGAATACATCAGTGTACACTGAAAGCTGGGAAAGGGCCCATGCTGCATTCTCATAAGGTAATGGAGATGAAAAACAAATGCTACATTGAGAAATGAAAACACAAAATCTGTTTCTAGTATTATATTTAGACATTTTATCACAGAGCTTTGCATGCTTGCCTTGGTGAGTAGCTAGGTGGCACTTGGAACAACTATATACTTTATTTCTTATAATATCAAAATATTTTTATGACAATTTTTTTATTTTATAATCTTTATATATATATATATATTTTTTTTTTTTAAAATCACAAAAGGCGGGGGGGGGCGTAAGTGACAAGCAAAATGCAGAAAAAAATGAAATCCCAACATGCATTTGTAGAATTTACCTATAAATTTGGGGAGTGGGTATGTTCTTAGCAGTTAATCCTGAGATACAAATACACTAACAGAATCACTGCCAAGGTCATCTGTAACTTTGGTGGGGATTTTAGTAATATACATTTTCATTTATTTAATCCATTTTTTTTGTTTTGTTTTTGTTTTAGGATTTGATGGCACAGCTATTAAGTGGTATTGAATTCCTCCATTGTCACAAAGTGGTACACAGAGATTTGAAGCCACAGAACATTCTTGTAACTCGAAATGGATTGCTAAAAATTGCAGATTTTGGTCTGGCACGTCTCTATGCTTTTCAGATGACACTCACAGCTGTGGTATGTAAATCTTGTTCTAAGTTTTTTTTGCTTTTGGTTAGTTCAAGCCTCTATCTGAAAAACTATACATAAATCTTTCTTGGATCAAGCTAATTTTGAAGCATTAGAAGATATTATTGTGCTCAACTAGATATACAATAGAAAGACAACTATTGAAGAGTGTCAAATTCATAAAATCAATAAATGATGAGTTTGTTAATGATTACAATATGACAAATGCCACCAAAAGCCTTTGAGCTTAACATAAAGATTACAAGTGTAAGATATTCATTGCACTGTCAGAGAACTCCAAAAAGAAAGTTTTGCATTTGCTCAATCACCTGATCTACCTGAATTGGAATCAGGCATGAATACTATATGAAATAATAATCAATTGGGAAAAGTGAATGTGGAGAAAGAAGAGTGAGTATAAAGGAGGAAAGATGAGTAGTAAGAGAGCTAGAGAAAAATTGAAAGGAAAACAGGTGAAAGAAAAAAATATTATATATATATATATATATATATATATAAAAAAAAGGCTTAAACACTAATGTTCCATGGTCATAATTTATTCCATTGGAATATTTACCACTAATATTATATATATATATATATATATATATATATATAAAATAGCTGGCCATTTTTATTCGAGGATACCTGTCTACTAGGGTGGCTAGTCAATCCCTATTGCAGACTCTTGCTCAGGCACATTTGTGTTTGTTCAACTATGCTGGGCAGATCTTAGTTACAGTTTCTGGGAGAGAGCATGTTTTCTAGCATGATCAACAATCTGAACAAGGCCAGCACACTCAAACCCTTGGTGACGATGACTTGTGACTGTGCTAGCACAGCTATTGACAGCCCCCAAGTGTTCCATCTACCCAGTTTCAATCACAAGGCTTGGGTCAAACCATAGTACAGTTTTCAGGTACTTTCCATACTGATAATCTGAGGAAGTTGCCTTCCTAACAAATTAAACATGGTGAGATCAGAAAGCAAATGTTTTAACCAGTCAGCCACGCAGCCATATATATATATATATATATATATATATATATACACACACACACTATAAAAGTTAGTTTAGACATCTGTTTTTTAAGCAGAATAATTGATGTCTACTGGTATAGGTTTTTCAAGAGTTTACAATGTCCTAAGTATTATCGTTCATTACCAACCTTCATTTGACTATTCTATTCAGTAACCTTCCCTGGGTTACATCACAATTAAAATATGACAAATGTCCCCAAAAGTCATTAATCTTAGCTTAAAGGTCATAAATAAGAGATTCATTGCTCTACCAGAGATTACCAAAAAGAAAGTGTAGTATCTGTTCAATCACCCAATTCACCTGAATTCAAATCAGTTATGAATGCTGCATGAAATAATAATGAATAAAGAAGCAAGGAGGAAAAGTGAATAGTAACAAAACCAGAGAACAATTTAAAAGAAACCAGGTGAAAGGAAAAAATAAATTATATGTATATATTTACTATAAAAGTTATATTTAACTTACATATCTTTTTTTTTTAACAGAATAATTGACAGAAAGCAAATGTTTTAACCACTCAGCCATATATATATATATATATATATATATATATATATATATATACACACACACACACACACATATACTATAAAAGTTACATTTAGTTTAGACATCTGTTTTTTAAGCAGAATAATTGACGCCTACTGGTATGGGTTTTTCAAGAGTTTATAATAAAGAAAATGTGACTTTTGGCAGGTTTTGAATCTATGTCCCTTTTATAAAGATGATACCATTATATAACACAGAATGCTTTTAGGCCACTCAGCCATGAAGAACTTCATGGCAAAGCAAGATTCAATTACCCTTTTGAAGGAAAGCACATCTATCATTAAGAACTTTTGAAAGCCATATTTGTTAATTTTATTTTTGTATCCAGAACATAAACAAAGCAATGTCTTAAGAATTAATTGACTTTTAATCTGACATTATTTCTCATTAATTGTATTTAGTATATTTAGTGAGTAGATCTGTTTCATATATATATATATATATATATACTTCATTATATATATATAATTAGTATATACCCTTATGAAGGAAAGCACACTTTTCTTTGTGTTTGAACAAGAGTTTTCTTTTTTGGACACATAGTGTGTGTAGAAACTGTCCAAATGTTCTATAATTTCAAGCACGTTTGGCTATACTTTTAGCCATTATCAAGGATGATTTTATTTCTTTTAATATAATTGGGTGTGTGCATTCTGTGTATGTTTTTAGTGTTATAGAAATGTTTTATTTTCCAAACAGTACATTAAAAAGAAAAAAAAAGATTACAAATAATGGAAGCCTTAATAATAGGAAAGAAAAAGCCAATACTCAATAATATTAACTATGAAAAAGGTGACAATGTGCTATATACACGAGGACCTTAGGTATTCTGTCATCACTCATCCTTGTAACATAACCAGCCCAGTGAAGTTGTGACTGCCTCAGAAAAGTCTCAATTCCACTAATGTTGCATTTTGTAAGAATTGGACAACCTATAATCAAAAGTACAGCCACAAATATATTTTACTTCAACCATTATTTTCAGTGGATATCCATATTTGAATAAATGCTAAATTCTTTTTAAACAGTGTCTTTTGAACAGGAGTAGAGATTTATCCCTTGTTTTTTGTTTAGGATTAGGTTTCTGGTTCATTTTAAAGTCTTCTCATTCTCTTTCAAAAGTGAATGCAACAGACTAAATCCTGAATTTGAACTCTGTTCATGGATTTCATCTTTTGCACCAATATCTCTTACAATAACTACACATTAATTGTACTAAGGTTATTAAGTAAATTTGTAATCTATTTTTAATGTGTATTTTATCCAGGGCAACTCACACAAAGTTAGTATGAGACACATTGACAGCTTAGAGGTTACTTTTAGCTTGTCTTTATACTCAAACCATGACCATCCAACTGTCTACTCTCAAGCTGGCTATACATGAGGACCTTAGGTATTCTGTCATCACTCATCCTTGTAACATGACCAGCCCACCGCTGTGACTGCCTCAGAAAAGTCTCAATTCCACCAATGTTGCATTTTGCAAGAAGATCAGCATTGGACAACCTATAATCAAAAGTATAGCCACAAATATATTTTACTTCAACCATTATTTTCAGTGGATATCCATATTTGAGTAAACACTAAATTCTTTTTAAACAGTATTTATTTCTTCTACGGGGTTGCATGTTGGGCAGGAGATTCACATTCCTCCCCAGTCTCTGTCCTGGTTATGATGATAAACTACATCCAACAGCAAGGCCTCTGATCAGGAGGTTTTGAGGAGTGTGGAACCAACTCTTAATTGCTGGTGTTCCTAGGTTCACCCTGACCTGGGGTGATACCACCTGTTAGAGTCCCAGCTATGGACAAATAGTTAACCCCCAAACTGGGGTCAAAACATTATGAAAGTGTAAAAATAGGCTTTAATACCAGAAATTTTTTACCAGCAATACATTTTTTGACAAAAAATATTACCAGCGAAGGAAAATTATTACCAGAAATAGATTTTTGAATGAAAAGATATTACCAGAAATAGATTTTTGAATGAAAAGATATTACCAGAAATAGATTTTTGAATGAAAAGATATTACCAGAAATAGATTTTTGAATGAAAAGATATTACCAGAAATAGATTTTTGAATGAAAAGATATTACCAGAAATAGATTTTTGAATGAAAAGATATTACCAGAAATAGATTTTTGAATGAAAAGATATTACCAGAAATAGATTTTTGAATGAAAAGATATTACCAGAAATAGATTTTTGAATGAAAAGATATTACCAGAAATAGATTTTTGAATGAAAAGATATTACCAGAAATAGATTTTTGAATGAAAAGATATTACCAACAATGAAAATTTTGTCAGTATTAATTAACCCATTGAGGCTGATATGCTATAAACCAAACCAAACAAATCCTCCCCAGTCTTTTGAACAGGAGTAAAGGTTTATCCCTTGTTTAAGATTAGGTTTCTCGTTCATTTTAAAGTCTTCTCATTCTCTTTCAAAAGTGAATGCAACAGGTTAAACCCTGAATTTCAACTCTGTTCATTGATTTCATCTTTTGCACCAATATCCCTTACAATACCTACACATTAATTGTACTAAGATTAATCTTCTGTAATCTATTTTTAATGTGTATTTTGAATGATATTTTAAAGTAAGTCCATTTTACATATATCCAAATTCCTTTTATTCAGTATGTATTTTCACCAAAACTGGACTTAATTTATGAATTTGGATGTGCAGGTGGTGTAATGGTTACTCATTTGGCAATCAAAATTTGAATTCCAGTTCAGTTTGTTACATCCACTTTTACACAAATACCATTGCAAAATATACAAATTCATCTATTCTCCCAGCTATAGGTTAAATAGCAATGCTGACTGTTTACTTTAGCTATGGTTGGCAACCAGTTTAAGAGAAGGCCAACACTGAATTCCAAAACCATATGTAGTCCTGTTGATGAACATACTATGCTGCCATGGAAAGGCTTTACAGAGCTCTTCATTAATTTTAGTGCAGTGTTGTGGATTCTGATTTAGCTATTTTTTTCTTTTTTTTTTTTTTTTTTTTTTAGAATAAAGTAAAATAAACTGTAATGAGAGTAAAAATTTCTTTTTTGTTTTTACATAATTACATCTTATTTGTTTCTTCATTTTGAGTTTTAGAATTTGGAAGATGTAAATCAAATGTGGAAATGTACACAAAATCTGGCTTGATTCTTGATTATCTCCCCTGATGTTTTATTTTTTTTTTGCAGGTTGTTACACTTTGGTATCGTGCTCCTGAAGTTATACTACAAGCTCAGTATGCCACACCTGTTGATATGTGGAGTTGTGGATGCATATTTGCTGAACTTTTCAACAGAAGGTTAGACTTTGGCATTGTTAAGAAATTTTCCTTACATTTTATGACGTCTGTGAGCTTTGTGAAGAGTAATGGTTTAACTGTAAAATATATTGTCTACAAAAAAGGTTTTCATTGGAACCGTTTTCATGGCATATCTGGTTATGGTTCATTAAACTGAAGTCGTGGATTTTTTTTATGAAAATTTATTATTTGATTACAACCATATCACGTTGAAACACTGGTTCCTGTAAGATCACTAAAGTTAAGCTATGGTGGGTTATCAGTTATAGTGAAGTGTATGAGTGTTGAAACAGATTAGTTTGATTTGGCCTTGTTAGTTAGATAGCCCACCATAAGAGGGGTATAAAACAAGAAAATCAAATTGTAAAGTAAAACAACAAGTTTATATACATATAAATCAATTAAGGTCTCTACAAATAAAATTAATGTATTTTGGTTGATACAAGCTCATCAAAATGTTTGTAGTAGTCCTTGCAAGAATGAGTTTATGTGAGTCAGTAGTTCACTTTTGAACCGACTGCTCGATTTGAATTCTCTTCCTACGGGTGGGAGGAACCCGAAGGAGGCTACGGGGAGGTAAAACTGGCCCTGAACCCGTTTATACGGGTTCAAATGGGCTATTTTTTGGCCGAGCCTAATGGCTTGGGAATTCCCACGTTAAAAAGACCTTGTGCCACATGACACCCTCGTGGGGGGGGGGGTGACTCAATGTCATGAGTTTATGTGTACTTAGGCATGAACGTATGTATGTATGACCGTTATCATAGGGTAGGAATGTCTTTGAAGTAATCGCTCAGTCTTAAAATGTTCCATTTGTTTATCAAGTATAAAAGAGGTGAGGGAGAAAGGTAGAGATAATAACAACGATCGCCTGACATTTGTCAAGGGACGTGTTAATACGCTCGTCTCCTTCTCTCTGGTGACAGGCAAACTTGCCCATCTTTTATTTTGTTTGTGGGGCTTGAAAAGATCATTTGGGAATATGATTCGGGCCTTTCCATTGGACGACGAACAAACTTTGTGTCAGCTCGCAAAAAGGTCCATAAAAGAATTTTGTTTCTGAGAATTGAAGATTATTTGAATTTTGTTTTTAAATGGTTCCTAGTTTTCTATTGGCCGAAAAACATTTCGCATCAAGGTGTGAAATTTCACAAGTTTTGTTTTGGATTCGCTTTTGCAAAGTTTGTAAATTCGAGTCTTTAATTTCTAACAAAATCAATGAGTCATTGCTTAGTATTTGAATTTTTAAATCTAGATCTTGTTTTGTTCACTATAAAGCAATGTCAAGCCTGATCAGAACCTAGAAGGATGATTTCTTGGGAATACCAGGTGTGGTAAGCATAGATGAGCAGGTAGTATAATGGATATGGGTTTGGAATTGCTGAATTTTAATTCTAGTTGGCTTTGTTATATTCACTTACGCACAAATACCATTTGGAAAGGCATGAATCAACCTCTTCTCCCTCCAGCTATGGCTTAATTTGTAAGACTTGTATCACTATGTCATTATTATCTTAAAAAAAAGTACTGTCTCAAAATATTTCCTCACATAATCTGCAAATGGTCGATAAGTCATAAAAAATGAAAAATTCAAATATATAAACGTATAAACAATTTATTATTTATTTTGGAAATGTTTCATTTTTGAGAAAAATGAAGTTTTAAAGTGGAAGTGAGTAAACTGTCTCTAAAATGGGGGTTCAGTTTAAAATATTTGTATAATGCCAAACTGAACCTTGACTTTGTGTCCCTGCTTATGACACCAAATGTTCGATCTATTGTGGAAATCAATTGTAAAACTGGACCCTACTTACATAAAATAGACACAAAGTAAGGGTCCTTTTCAACATTATTCCTTTCTTAAGTGCCAGGCATGATGCATAATCAGGTGATCAGGTCTCTCTTCGATTCATAATGTGGAAGAAAAAATCCTGCAGTAGGCTGCTGTTACTTTCTATAGTAGACTGGTTGCCAACTAAGGCTATATGATCCAATCTGTCCTGCTATTTAACCCATAGTTTGGGGGGAGGAGAGATGGATTCATATCATTTCTAAGAGTGAATGTGATGCACTTGACTGGAATTTGAATTTGGCTCTTGTATTTCTCATTTCGAGCCATTATCCATCATGCTACCTGAATATTATTCCCCAGTGATCCCTCATCTAGGTACTGACCAGCCTCAGTGTTGCTTAACCTTCAGTGATTGAACTAGAACCAGTGTTTCAAAATGATATGGCTGTAAGCATTATACATTATAAATTGAACCCTCATTAAGAAATTTGAAGTTAATTTCCTAAAGAAATCAAAGCATATAAAAATATATATATATATTTTTTTCATACAAAAATACACTACTTCAGTTACATGAATCTTAACTTCATTACTCTTGTGAAATCATTTGCTGTTGATTTTTAGACTAAAAATAATATATTTTACATTTTGTAGTAAATATGCCATGCATTAAAAAAATAAAAAATCTGTGGTAAAAATAATGACATGTATTTTAATAGGAAAAATGATTCCCATTTTATAATAATATCCTTTATTATTTTCGGCAGAGAAAAATAACCCAGTTTTAATATGACATCATTGTATATGTTTTAATGGTTTTGTATTTCATTAAATTACTTCATGATTTTGTTTAAAACTAAAATAAGACTTTCAATTATTAAAAAAATCAAACAAAATAGAAAAAAAATTGTCATGTTAGGGTTTATATTTCCACATTTATTTTCTTTTTTTTAGACCATTATTTCGTGGTCAGTCAGAAATTGATCAATTAGTAAAGATTTTTGAGTAAGTATTCAATTGCTTTTTTTCTTCATTACTTTCCTCTTTCATTTATTTTCATCACTTATTATTTAATTATATTTACATTCAATATTGATTTTATTATGTAATTATTAATCAGTTATTAAATTATTCTCTATTGATATGGACTTCAATGTCAGAGGTATTTAGAAATAGCAAATAAAAAGATGGTTTCACCCTTCCCCATCTGTAGAAATGGACTTGACCCAATTGGTATATGTTATATAGGAATAAAATGTCACTGCTGACACTCTAGTTTGAACATAGATCGCCAGTGAGCAAACACAGGCAATCCCATTATTGAATTAAGTAGACCACGTGACCATAGAGGAAACGCATATATGTAACTGATGACTAACGATCGTCATTTCTATTCTATCCTCTATTACTATTCCGCTTGCTATTTCTGCTCTATCCTCTATTACTATACACACCACTATTCTCTACTCTATTCACTATACTATTTCTCTGTTTAGATCACTATATGAGTTACTTGTCGAGCAAGTATTATTAGTGCATATGATATTTGAAGGTGTCTGACACCAGCATTTTTCAATGGCATACTATAAGTTGTATTTGTGATTACAAAGTCTCTACTACAACGAGTATTACAAAAGTGGCAACGAGTGTTCATTGACATCACAAAAGTATATATTTGACAAAATAGATAAACAGATAGTGTAGCTGTGTATTAGAAGTAAACAGGATTTTAGCACTGTCAGAGCCAGAAGGATGACTGAGGTGGGAATTTCTCTAAATTCTTTACTGTCAACAGTAACAAGAATATATTAATTCCAGACAGAGATTAGAGGCATGTGAAAATTAAATGTTAAGGATGGTAACCACCCAGTGAAAGTGAAATATTGTCTCAGATCTTTAACTGGAAGAATTTGTGCAGGGTTGCCAATGGTCAAAAGTCAACAGTTGCCAAATTATCGACAGCTTGCCAATGATCTTCATACTGGAGCTAATGCACTGACTGTTGTCAAACTGTAGGCAGTTAATACCAATATATAGCAATTTACAAAGTGTATCTTAGATGTGGCACAAGAGCAAGAGTTTGGAGCACTCAGTGTGGATTGAACTCACAACAGTTGTGATTGATCTAATGAGACAAACTTGCTGACCTTTACACCACCTTGACATGCACACATTGGAATATAGTGATTTACTAAGAGTAGCTTACATGTGGTACAAGGCCTAAAGTATGGAGCACCTAGTGAGGATTGAACTTACTACTCAGTCGTAATTGATTGAGTGAGACAAACTAGCTAACCATTACACCATGTGAAATTGCCTTGTTGGAATATAGTGATTTAGTAAGCATGTGCACAAGGCTTAAAGTAGGAGTCACCAAGTGAAGAACGATCTCACTACTCAGTCATAATTGATCTAGTGAGACAAGCTAGCTAATGATTACACCACATCGATATGCCTGGCACTCGAATCTAGCATGTAGGCACCCTAGATATCCATGATCAGTCGGATCAAAAATTTTGCATACCTTACTGATTTCTTTATCAATGATCTTGAGACATGACTCAAGTTTTTATTTTTGGCAGAGAATACACATGACATGTGGGCATTTCATCTAATCAGAAAAGTGACTTTCATTGCCATAAGATCACGTCCCAATTCAATGCAATCTATCAATGCACTGTACAGAATACACTTACTTCCATGTTATTTTGTAGTAGTCAACTAACTAAAATACTTTCTATTGAGGCCATTGTATTGGTTGCAGCACCATGGCCAGAGAACATTGGCATTGGATAATTGGAAGATTGGCACTGTGTTGCCTGCTGAGGAGGAGTTGTGTTTCTAGCTCTTTTAGGGAGATAACTGTTCTAGTGAGCAAAGTTATAGATCTATTAAGGTGATGTGCAAGCATATAGATTCAAACAATAATAAATGAAAATTTAATTATAAATATAAACCTCATACAATTATCATTTAAGCATTAATTTAATATTATTAGTATATATATATATATATATATATATATATATATATATATATATATATATTTAATTTAAGCATTAATATCAGTTATGTAAAAAAGAAATACAAATTTCCTAGCAAAAAAAAAAAAAAAAATCGAATGCCCCAAAATTAAAATTGGTCGCATATCAGCATATTGGAACAACTCACCAGAAATGGCAATTGTTGAAAGTAAAGGAAGATTGCAAAGTGAAAAAAAAAAAAAAAAAAAAAATGAAGAAAAGGACAAATGATCACGACATCCTACATGTATGCACATCCGTGCAGACGAGTGCATGACTACACACATACACAAACTTAAAAAATTACACCCATGACAAGTGTATAAAAAAGAATAAAATCAAAAAATATAAGCAGTAAATGGCTGATATCCCCAGAAGAGTGGATTGACAGGTTCGCCTATGAAACTCTGGAGTCAGAATGCTGAAAGTAACATCAGTCAGCTAAGTGACAAACTTTTAATTATATAATATATGTTATAATTATATATGTCTTTTTATATTCATTTTGTAGAAATACCTCTAATGAAATTTGATAAACTAAACAGAACTTTATTCAGTTTTAAATTTGCTAGGACACAACTGGACCAGAATGAATGTAGCTATTTTATAGCTGAGAACGCCTCTCAGTGGCGAAATTACCTGATACAAGGGAGATAACTCTTGTTGATTATCAGTACAACACAGACAACAGCATGTATAAAGTATTTGAATCTTTTTTATTTCTTAACTGCTTGGAGGTCCTACTCATAACTTTTACTTTGCTGTCACCATTTTCTTCCATTTTTTTGTTGTTTTTATCTTTCAATGTCAGGCCAATTTAAGAGATTTTTTTTTATTCATTTCTCACAATTAAGCTTTAAATAGAGAGGTTTGTCCCTTGTTTCCTGTTTAAGATTGCATTTCCAGTTCTTCCTAAAGATTACTTCAACTCTGTGTTTCTAATGTTGCTGCCTAAACTCTGAAATTTTATTTACTATTTATTTATTTATTTTTTCCTCAGTTGGAGTAGATATCATCTGGCTCAAACTCCTCCTCAGTCTTTTGAACAGGAATAGAAGTTTATCCCTTGTTTCCTTTTTCTGGTTCCTTTCTAAAGTCTTTCCACAAAGTAGATTTTACATCCCTTCCTTAAGAAAAAAAAAAAAATAATCAAACATAGTACTTGGGCCCTGTTTGGTATCAGCATACATACACTTCAGACAGATTTGAATTACAATAACATTTGAATAAAATGGGGTAATTTTGTTTCAGTGTGCTTGGATTACCGCCCAGAGAAGAATGGCCGGACAATGCTTTTTTGCCTCGCAATTCTTTCCAGTCTTTATTACGGAGACCATTAGAAGAATATGTGCAAGGAATCAGTCCTTTGGCCAAGGATTTGTTATTGGTAAGTATTTTCCTATCCCATTTTGTCTGGTCGGCAGCTTCATTAAAGCCTGCGGATTGAAAATTCAGGAATAAGGAAACATTAGGAAACTCACGATATATTTATACTTTTTTTTTTTTTTAATTTTTACTTAATTTTAACCTAAGACCTAGAATTCGAATTTACTCCATACTAAATGCTTGAGTAGGCTTACAGCTACATCATGTTAAAACAACAAGTTAAGCAACTTGAGTCTAGTCAGTACCTAGATGGGTGACCACTTGGGAATACCAGGTGCTGTAAGCTTGAATGTGCGGGTGGTGTAATAAATAATTTTTTTTCATCAATTTCACCCCAAGCAAGGCAGTAAAGCCACTAAGACACAAGGGATTACTGGGTGTGAAAGAATTAGGAATTGAAATATTACGGGAAGAGAAAATAATCAGGAGCACAGTAGATAGCAACTGACATTGCATTTAAATTTTTGCAGATTAAAGTAGGCTGGAAAGCTTGAAGCTGGAAGGGAGTTTCACAAGCAAGAAGTGTAAGAAAAGAAACTGTTAGTATATAAATTATGGTTACATCTAGCCAGCTCAACTGTAAATTGATGAGATCTTGACACTAGTCTAGTCAGTCAGTTTGCCTAAGTGTGTATCACACATGGCACATCATGTATCTTTTGATATATGACTGACGAGGCAGATTTTTTCATGCAGTAAGTTGCCATTTCTTTCTACAATAGACCATTTGCCATCCAAGGCTATAGAATCCGGTCTGTCCTGCTATTTACCCATAGCTGGGATGAGAAGAAGATGATTCATACCTTTCCTAAAGGTATTAGCACGTAAGTGAATGTAATGGATATGACTGGAATTTGAACTCAGCACTCCGATTTCTCAATCCACTATCCATTACTCCACAGTGCCTCCAAGTCTAATACTGTGCTTAAATTCATAAAGTCGAGGTACCATAGTGAAGAGTGATATTTATTCTGCATATTTACAGAAATGTGGCACAAGGCCAAAATGTGGAATAAGGAAAAAGGATGGTCTTCTTCTGTCTTAACATTAAGCTTAGCTAGTCATGATCATTAACCCAAACATACTACAATATTCCTTACACCAAAGCAAAACATTCTTATAACATCAACCATAATGCCTCAATGTCTATGAAAATCCTAACTAATCCTCATATTTACAATTCATGTGTTGAGATTAGGGGAATCACCAAAATCCCATATCATGTCAGACTCCCATACCAGTTTTGAATGAAGAGCCATATAAACAGAAGATCAAAGTAACAACCAGAGAGAGATGACCGCTTCAAACTCACATGACTTCCTACCACTGAAGAAGACCTCTGACTTTGCACTGTGTTCCAGGAGCCTTGTCCAGACAAAGCATCATGAAATATTCGAAGAAGAGAAGAGTCGAATGACTTTGCATGACAAATATATTCTTGCATGAAGAACATGTATTTCATATATAGAGTATATATTTCTTTACATTATTATTGCTGACTTTACACTGTTTTGGTCTTATATCCAAAACGTAGACAAAAGGAATCCACTGTCAGAATTTCATACCCATGGGCCATCTGATCTGTAATTTTCTATCCTGGACTGGTCTCCGCATTCTGTAACATAACATGCACTGATAATTTTTAAACTCAAAGATTGGAGTGAAAAGTGCATATTATGCAGAAATAATTATGATAATGAGGAAAGAAGGCATAGAGAATTTGACACTTGAAGGACATATTGAAGACAAAATGGATAGGGGAAGATAGCAGGCCATCTGATGAGCTTGTGTGAATTGATGACAGAATGGGGACATAAAAGATAGGAAGGTGGGGAGAGCTGTGATCGTTTATGTTCTGAAGGGACTCTGTACATAGTAGAATAATTATGCTTGATCAATTGGCAGGTTTCTATAGAAATGTTTTTTTTTTTTTCTTTTGTCTTTTCAGGGTTTGCTGACAATCAACCCTCGGCAACGTTTAAGCGCTAAAAAAGCATTAGAATATCCCTACTTTCATCAAAACTTGACTGTGAATTCTACTAGTCTTACAACGAAGCCAACAAACAGTTATCAGACTCAGCTTTCTCACTCCTCACCCATTGCCACAAATTCCATGCATCCCATTCCAAAGAGTAACTCCACCCACCACCCAGTGCCGACTACTCCTAGTGCACCACCTCCAACACCTGCGCAGGTAACACCATCCCCTCCGGAAGTGATGGCAACAACATCAATAGTAACAACAGCAACTGTGAACACCCAAACAACACCCACCACTCCTGTTGCAAGTACAACACCACTTCATTGGGCAGGCATCTAAGAATGGACGGAACTGGACACTTGACCAATTATGTTTTTTTTTATATTCGAATTGGGGATGAATTGAGTAAAAAAGGAAAACAAATACTGTATATATTCGCGGATAGGTCACACCCTTAGTTTGGTGTTGTCAAAGTGGGTATTTGTGTTTGACTCTCAGATAGGTCGCACTATAATCCAGGGAGTAACTTGGACTCTTTTTTAACGTAAATATAACTAATATTTTAAAATATTCACCTTTATTTCAAAACTTTGCTTACATATATTAAAACATAAGAAAAGTGATTGGTTGCAATTGTATGGTATTATTGAATGCAGGGCTGCTCTGTTTAGACGAAAATGTGGATACCAATAATTGCTTCAGTCCTAAAATTACTTGAAAATGATAGTCTTTCATTGTAAAGTCAGATAATAAATAGTAAATGAGAGCAGTGCTGATTGAGTGCCTTAATCCGATGCGTGACACAGTATTGTTGGAAGAAGTGATTGAAATTGAAATGTCAGGAAAAATTAATTTTCTCACTTATGCTTGGGCCCAGGGTACTTACCTGGATTACTGATATGCCACAGTCTGCTTTAGATTCTCTATGATGCTGAGTGGTTAGATTGCATCCCTGATTTTTGGTGAAAAAAGTGCGACCTATCCTCGAGTATACGGTAAATCAAAAGCTTTGGGATATTTGATTGTTTTCCTTTTGTCTGTCTTAGTGTACACCATATTTAAAGGGAGACAACTTACGTAACGCAACAAAAAAATCACTTTGCTAAAGTTTGATAATGAAAAGGTTTGACTGAAAAAAGAAAAAAAACCCAAAAAAACAGAATTTATTTTTTTATTCACTATCAATGTAGAGAATAAGATATGCCATAATTTTCGAATTTTTTTTTTAAGAAACGCATTTACAAAACAGTAGAAATATTCTCCTGAAGGAGGCTGAAAATGTTGCAATTTTGAAACTATGGAATCAACTAATGGTAACAGAAGCTCAAAAATTAACTGTAGTCAAGCACAGCCAATAGAATAAAAACTGGATGAAATAATTTTAATTTTTGTGCTTGGCTTGAGCAGTAGAAAGGCAAATCAGAGGACAAGAAAAGTGCTTGTTTTGAGTGTTACATCCCTTTATGGGTTTTTGTCGTAAACCAACATTAAAAGAAGGAAATTGATTCCAAATACAAGAAATATAATTATTACTGAATATCATAAAGCCTGTTTTTCAATATTTTCATTTTTGTTCATTTGTGGGTGGGGGTCATATAGAAAATTTATGGCAAAAAAATACTTTTCTATTTAGTTTCAAAATTACTAACATTTTATCAAATGATGTCTCAAAACTGGAGATATGTTTTTGCATCAGCTTTAAAAATCGTGTGTAGCACTGATGAATGCATTTTATTTTATTTTTTAAATAAGGTGTACTTCTAAAAGGAAGTAACATAAAAATAACCTAATATTATGATACAAAGAACTTTTCTATTTTTTTGTTTATTATGAAAATGGATTGGATAAGAAAAGAAAACATTTTATAAAATCTGATGAAAACAAACAAAAAAAGCGGTGAGTTTTCTCATATAGCAAACTTTTTTTTTCATTATTTCTCATAGCCTTATTTGTGATTAGAAGTTATGTGACAAATAGTTTTACATGTTAACTCAGAATAAGATAATTAGTAATATCTGAAACCAGTCAAATTTTGGCAAACATGTATCTTTGTGCCTACAAAAAAAAAAATGGAGTGTCAAGCAGACAGTTTTTCTATTGATACTGTTACTATTCTAGCTACCTTCATTCCTCAGCAATGTTTGTTTTAAAGAGCAATGATTAGAATTTTAATAAAACATAGACATATGAAGAAAGTAAATTTATACATTTTCTTTTTTCTTTAGAATTAACAACAAAAAATAAACGAACACTATTTATTTATTAGATTGTTTATTAGAACAGTTGCAAAACATTGGCTGATTGATTTAAACTTTATAAAACAGTAAATAAGAATTTCCTTACAGTTGGTTCATATATTTTAACAATTTAGTCAATGTTTATAAATTTGTGAAAGAAAAATTTTTTCATATTTATTTCTTTATAAATTGTTAAATGATAAATATTGCATTAGTTTTTAGAATGTTGTAAATATAAAAATGTTATACTCCGAGCTAATAGGAATATATATTTGAAAAACAAGGTGGATAAAATAAGTAAAGGTTTATTGTAAAAAACCAGTACAATAAAAATAAAGGTAACAGTTATGCACAAGGTTGTCGCAAGTCAATCCATTAGTGAGTGCTACTATTGGAAGGTTGGTATTTCTCGTGTAAGTCTGAGTCGTACTCAACAGATCCCAGCTAGTTGGTATTTACTAGCCCCACCCACTAGGGTAGATGTGGCACAAGGACGAGTTTAACATGGGTCTTCCAAGCCCGTAGGCTCAGCCAAAAATATTCCCTTTCAAACCCGTATAAACGGGTTCAGGGTCAGTCTACCTCCCCGAACGAGACTGCCTTTTGGCAGAGCCTCGTCCGGGTTCCTCTCTGCCTGAAGGCAGAGAGTTCAACTGTCTAGTTGGAACAGATTTCAGCTAGTCTCTGTAGTCCGTTGACTTACAGATACTTATAGTGTAGTTACTCATGGGGGTGACAGGTTATTCCATTACATCATAAAATTATTCTTATAAATAAACACTCAAATAGTGTTTAATATTTTTGTTGTAAATTCTCAAGAATGAAAAAAAGATTGTATAAATT